ATGCCAGCAATATAAACGACAGGTCGAAGAAACTGACTTATAGAACCCCCCCCGTACCATCAGTTGGCTAACTTCTACAGTTGCCTTTTGTTTATCTATTTGAAGAAGCAGAAGGCAGTATCCGAAATAAAAATTGAAGTGTAAAACAAGGAACTGATCGGAAGGACAAACGAAGGAAGGGAATAAAACTGATATACTGATAGCTGTATTTTCTTCAGTTGATTTATCACTAAGAAAAGGTAAACAAAATTCTCAGGCTTATTAGCCACCTTTTAAACACTATTTTCTTCCTGCTTTTTTTGTACCTTTCTGTAGCTTTATGAACAACTATTTTAAGCTATGGAACTGTTTGAACTGTTCTGTAATGATGAGGTTACCAGATGGTAAGCTTCAACTAATCAGATAATGAAAATTCCCAGCAAAATTTGATATTGATTTCAATAGTGTTTTTTTTTTACTTGGTTTGTTTTTTTTTTCTCTTGTTAATAGAGAATGGGTTCAAATTAAATTTGTTATTTTTGACGTGATCAATATTTTGAAGAATAACTTTTTTATCCCAACATGAAAAAAAAAACCAACTAAAATTTTTTGATAAAAACTATGTTGAAATAGTTTTAAGTTTCAGACAAAAAAATGACCAGAAAATATCAATAATTTCAATAATCAACTGTTTAGTGGGATTTCTATCACTTTGCAAAACAAAAGAAAAAAAAATAAAATAAAAGAAAGAAAAACAAAAGGGGAACATTCAGTGAGGTAATTCAAATCAAACACTTAATTGGGATATCGGTTTTGAACGACATTTGATACAGAAGTTCTTCAGTTTTTGAAACTAAAATTTTGACGTAATCAAAAGGTCAATGTCACGCTTCTGTTTTCAAAAGATTTATTAAAGTAGCAATATTGTCTGAATTAACTGTTATAATCAGATATTGCTCAACTTTTGTTTTAATAGACTTCTAACTTCATTGTTATACACAAATGTGTCTGTCTGGTGTCCTTTGTAGTCATCGAAGATAATTTGGGACCTTA